GTGTCCCCTGGCTTTAGGCTACTGGTTGTTCTTATGGTCACCAACCTTGGGTTGTCTTATGGTCACCAACCTAAGTACTTATATATAGGCCACTACCCTGTGAGTTGTTGAAGGTCACTAACCTAGTAAATAATCTACTTGGGGAAAGTAGAGGATCCAGAAAATAGTTGAAGGGTGTATTACTTACTTTTAGTCAGGAACTGTTTAAAGTAGAGAAGTAAATCACTAGTCTTAATTTATAAGACCCTTGATTATGAACTTCTATATTACTTTAAAGATGTTCTTTAAAAGGTATGTGTAATAAAAGCTTGGGGATCCCTCTCTGAAGGCTGAGAGAGGAGGAGTTTATATACTCTCCTCTCCAGACCTAACTGTAGTGATATTTGTTTATATCACTGCAGTGGTTTAGGGTTTAATTATTACTGTTATTTATGATTATTATTAATACTACATAATTACATATACCTGTTATGTAATTTATGTAGTATAAGCATTTTTAACTCTTGACACTGAGTTATGAGGTGTTATGAGTGTTTTATTACATATTACATATGATTTTAAATGTATATGTATATGTAATTAGGTTGTATATACGGTTTATTACAAGTTACATATGTTTTGTAGGGTTTATGTACATGCAATTAGTTGTCTAAAGGTGGTTATCTATGTTACAAGTTAGTCTTTGGGTACATACATATGTATCCAGGGCTGACATTCCCCACCCTCAAAGGAGGTCATTACTTCTTTTCAGAAGGTTTATGAGCTCTTTTTTGGGCTCTGAATTCTCGCAAGGTAGTTTTGTTATTGGGTACTTTATCTGCTGGTAGCCATTCATCTTCATCTGCGCTCCTATTCTTATATCTTACAAGATAGAGTGTAGTGGATTTACCATTAACTTGCGTATCTCTTTGTTTTATTATGTGTGAGAAAATCTTTTCTCCTTCAGTTTCAAACCTGATAGGGGTTTTCTTGGGTATTTCCCTGTTGGGGAATTTGCTCTTGTCAGAAGCGTGAAACTTCTTTATTAATGAGATTGGAAATACAGGATGTTTTCTCCCAAATTCCTCTGTCAATGCTACTTCTACTGCATTGCTTCCATGGAATTTTAATATCACAAAAGGTCCAACAAATTGATCTTGAAGTTTCTTGGGTCCTTGAAGATTATTAAAGTTTGTAGTGGAGAGTAGAACTTGTTCTCCTACTACAAACTTAGGTTCTTTATGAGTCTTGTTCCATCTCTCTTGGTTATAAGTTACGGAATCTTCAATACATTGGGCTGCTCGAGCTCTTGCTTTACCAAGCATATCAAAGAAACTCAAAGAAGTTGGATGAAATTCAACATTTTTATTCTTAATCTGGTCTTTTGGTAATCTAGGACAATAACCTCTTTCTACTTCAAAAGGTTTCTTCCCTGTTGTGCTATGTATGCTGCTATTATATGCTAATTCTAGGGCTGGTAGTAATGTATGCCAGTCATGTGTATGTCCATCTTTATCTGTGTAGCAGAGTCCTTCAGTACAATATCTCCTGATGATTTCAGTTAAGGTACTAATATTCCTTTCACTGAGGCCATCAGTCTGTGGGTGGTATGCAGTGGAAAGAGCTAATGTTGTTCCAATAAGTGTATGCAGACTTTTCCAAAATTCAGAAGTAAACTTTGGATCTCTGTCACTGATGATGATTCGTGGCAGTCCTACATCACTTATTATCCTTTCCCAGAATAGTAATGCAATGTCCATTGCTGTTGCTTCTTTGTAGAATGGTAAGAACCTTGTTCTTTTTGAAAATCTGTCTACAATGACTAGTACACAGTTGTAATTGTTAATTAATGATGGTGGAAGACCAGTAACAAAATCCATGTTAATGACTTCCCACGCATATGTTGGTTCTTCTATTCTTTGAAGTAGACCAAATCTTTTTCCTGTGGCTTTGTTTGCTTTTTGGCATCTTTCACAAGTTTTTACATATTCTTCAACATCTTGTCTCCAATTTGGCCACCACGCTGTGCTTTTGATTCTGTCTATTGTCCTGTCTTCTGACAAGTGTCCTGACATAAATTCATCATGGCACACGTGCAATGTTTGTTGAATGTGCTCAGTAGTTATTATTACTAAAACCACAGTATGCTTTTCCCTAAAGTATAGTAGGTCAGATTCAAGTGAAATTTTTCCTTGAGCTAATCCATCTTTCCAAGGTTGCTCAAGTGTGCTTGACAGGCTCAAATCCGTATTACGTGCAGACAATATCCTGGTAAGTTTAGCTGTGTTACTATTCTTTTCATAACTAGCTTTCACCTCATCAAAGAATTCTTCAGATAATTCACATAAACTAATTCCCATCACAGGAATGTCCCTTTCCATCTCCTCTGGTTCCCATGCTGGGTTACTGGAATCATTTGGCAGTGCCATTCTACTAAGTCCATCCGCATTGTTATGGAATTTTCCTGGTCTATGTGTAATTGTCATAAATGGTTTATACTCTTGTATTGCCATCATCCATCTCAACATATGTCTACTTGGAGATTTGAGATTTGTCAGAGACCTTACTCCAGTACAATCTGTTATTACTTCAAAGTAACTACCATCAAGGTAGTAGTGTAATTTTTCTAAGGCCCACACTAGTGCTAAGGCTTCTAGTTGTGGCGAAGAATATCTGGTTTCAGTGTCTGTCAATTTTCTGGATATAAAAACAATTGGCCCTTCCTTTGGTTTTCCGTCAATTATCTGTGTCTGATGGAGTGCTGCGCCTAAACCTTCAATTGATGCGTCTACGTAAAGTTTAAAAGGTTTCTCGAAATCAGGGTGAAACAAGATTGGTGCTGTTGTAAGTATTTGTTGTATTTTATTCACTGCATCAATTCTTTCTTTTGTCATTTCAAAAACTACGCCTTTAGCATAAAGTTTGTATAGGCTACGCGTAATGATTCCAAAGTTTGGAATGTGAGCTCTGTAGTAGCTTGTAAATCCTAAAAATGAACTCAGTTCTTGTTTATCTTTTGGACAAGGTTTTTGTAGGACTGCTGCTACAGAGTTTTGGTCTACTGCTACCCATAGTCCTGATACACGATGGCCTAGGGCTTTACATTCTTCAAAACCAAAATGGCATTTCTTTAAAGATATGGTCATACCCATGGCTTTGGCTCTTATCAATACTTTTTCCATTGCTTCTAGATGTTCTTTCCACGTAGTGTGAAAAACTATGATATCATCAATATATACCTTGAGCCATCCTTCCCTTAATTCTTTTGAAAATTCTGTATCCATCATTCTTTGAAAGAAAGCTGGAGCATTTTTGATTCCAAAAGGCATCCTTATATATTCAAAAATTCCCAAATGACAAATGATTCTGAGAAATTTCCTGCTACATATTTCCACGATGTTCTGGTGGAATCCTTTCATTATATCCATTAGAGTAATATGTTTTGCATTAAAAAGGTTAGTCAAGGATTGGTCTATTCTTGGCAAGGGATATCTATCAGGCTTGGTGTACTGGTTTAGAGCACGAAAATCTCCGCAAAGTCTAGATTTATCATTGTGCCATGCTATTAGAACAGGTGAAGTTATATCAACTTCCTCATCACTACCCACTTTTCGTATTACACCCATCTTAAGTAATTCTTCAATGTGTTTTTCTATTTATTTTCTACTTCTTGGGCTAGCTGGATATGCACCTTTCCTTAGGATGGGTGGGTAAGGTTTGTCTATTGTGAGTTCTATTTTCACCGGATGGTTCTTAATAACTCCTAGAGGTTGTTCTCCCAAACCA